GTTCAGAGGCATTTTCCGGTCCTCTCTGCCATTTGAAATTTGACGGAGTAGATCTTCCTGGGTTCTCTTGAGCCCCAGGATGTCGGCTTGAGACTTTTCGAGAGCTTTTGATTGATCGAGAACGAGGTTTGTCAGCATGATGATCCTCGCGTTCAGCGAAGCTGTGGTTGCGCGGACTGCGGACTTTCCCTCACATTTCCTGCACAGTACATCCTCCTTGTCGGTCTTGGGTTTCACGAGACACTTTTCGTGCACGCATCCACCGCACGGACCCGGGCAGAGTACAAAACGAGCTGAAGATCGCTCGGACCGAGCGCAAGCGCTGCATTCAAGCGCCATAGCAGACGAATCTCGCTCAGTCCTATCATCATTACAACGAGCGCGAATTGGCCCTAAGTCGTAACGAACGCCGCTTTTTCCGCTGATTCTCGAGACATGCCTATCTGGAAATACCCCCAGGCTAGATCAAATGTTGAATAGAATTCTCGACCTCCGATCTCGTCCATAATGTCATCAATCAGCGGCAGCGGGTAGTTCGATTTCACTGTTTGAGCGTTGAGCTTTCGATAATCGATAACCATTCTGAAGCTTCCGTCAGGTTTCTTGACCAATAGAAGGGGGCTCGCGTAATCCGAATGTGATTCTTCGATAATTCCCGCCTCTTTCATTTGTTTCAAAATGTTCACTAATTCATCTCGTTCCGCCAAAGACAGTCGAAACGGCTTGCTCCGTACTGGGGCGCTTCCTGGTATTTCTTTAATTTCGAATTCCTCTCCTTTTGCTCGACCTAACTCTTTCATCGTAGTCGCTACTACATCCCTATAGCTATTGTAGCGGAACAACGAAGACCGGTGATAATGGATAGGATTTATTCTGAACTCGAGCAGCTTTTTTTATAGGATGACCCGGCGACAGCAGCGCCGCTTCAATCGGCCTCGCTACTGCTCACGAACGCCCTCGTTCGAAGGGCTTCAAGTCTTTAGCATTCAGGGTCCGCACTCGATTGGACTGATCTCGCACTTCATAGGTAGAATGGGCAGTCCGACGCACCACCTCGCAGGGCCCCACGAACCGTGGGTGCAACTTCTTGGACAGACCACGCCTGACTTTGGTGATCCGAACCAGTACCTCCTGACCAACACGAAACTGTACCGGTTTCACCCTCGAAGCGTCATACCGACTCTTCATACGCTCTTGAGCCCTCAAAAGATTCCGATGGCCTTCCTCCCGCACTTGTTGTACAGAACGGCGGCCTTGTGAGACCCGCGGGGGTTCCCCAGGATGGACCGCCGGAAATCCGAATAACATTTCGAAGGGTGCTTCCCGTAGCGATTCACTCACAGTGGTGTTCAAAGAGAAGGCTATCTTCGGAATTATCTCTCGAACAGCCGTGAACCCCTCCAGCACGAGAGCACCAAGACGATCCGTCAACGTCCGTATGGTCCTCTCCGCGAGACCATTGAATTGAGGATGACCCACGGCTGTACGGATGTGCGAAGTCCCAACCCTCCGCAGATAATCAGCCAACAACGTACCTCGGAAGCACGACGCATTGTCGGTGACAATCGTCCCGATACGCCCCAGAGACGCACTCATAGTCTCGAGAGACCGCACCACGAACGGAGCCGAGATCCGCCCCGCAGCGAAGAGATGCACGAAGCGCGTACAATCGTCGACGGCTACCAAAATGTAGACCGGCGGACGCCCAGGAACGTTGAACGGACCAGCGAAGTCCAGCCCGACCTTCTCGAAAGGTCTTCCGGGCGGCACCACAGGTTGCATATCGCCGACTTTCTGTTGTGGCGGCTTACGCCTCTGACAAATCTCGCAGTCTCTGACATACTGGCGAACGCGACGATGGAAGCCCCGTCCAAGATCAAACCGTTCGCGGACGCGACGCTCAGTCCTTCGCGCTCCCGGGTGTCCAGCCATATCGTCCTCATGACATAACTTGATTACGTCCTCACTCATAGAACCGGGGATACAGAGCCGGCCTCTCCGATAGAGTAACCCGTTCTGCATGGTGTACCCCTCCGACGGCGTCCCAAGGCGGACTTGCTCTACAAGTCGGCGAAGACTGGGATTACAGCCTTGTTCCAGCTGAAGCCGATCAAGTTGAATAGGCGCGACGGTCAAGCGAGATAAGGCATCCGCATTGCCATTGTCTTTCCCTCTTCGATGTACCACTTCAAAATCATAATCTTGAATCGCCAAAGCCCATCGGATGAGTTTCGGAGAGAGATTGGCCTTGCTCCTGAGGTACTTGAGGGATATGCTGTCGGTTATCACTTCGAATTGACGTCGGTATATTCCTGGACGGCGGCCCATAAACCGAATTTTTCTGCCTTGATTGTTTTGAGGAATTGGTCGTCTCCCCCGCGTAGCATCCACGCCATCAGGCAGTTCTCGGACGTCAGACTGTACACCTTGCGAGTCGTATGGAATAAGAGCACCCCGAACTGGAGAAATCTCAGATAGGACTTCAGAGTCATCCTCGCTCCCGAGGTCGAGAAGAGGGGTTTGCTGACGTATCTTTCCATCCATTCCCCGCAAGGGTGGTGAGATGTACGGTGATACTTGGAGAAATGGTGTAGGGCGAGGTTCTTCAACTTTACGAGGAGCCTGTCATCCGGATTGTTCGGATCCTCTGTGTGACTCTGTGTGCTCCATCGGGTCAAAAAAAAACATCCACATTTCACTGCCCCAGCAACTTCGGTGACTACGGCAATAACCGGTATCTCAACCATCGGCCCATCGGAACGGTCCGTCGTGTTCTTGGCGACGAGGGCAACTAGCATCGCGAATTGGGGTTCTACCAACGGAATCGAGTACCGCTTGAATCTGTCTGGTTTCTCGAGTATCCACGTGACTTCGTCGGCGCTGGCATCGGCGCGGAAGATGTTGAACATGAAGAGTGACACGCGTCGCGTGAGTTCCTCCTGCCTGGCAGGGTGGGATTCGCTCTGAAGGTACGCGATCTGCATGATCCCGCCCGAGGATTTCGCAGGGTACGCGCGCAGCGCCGAGGGATGATGAAACCCAGCGATGTCTTTCCACAGGGTCTGGAACGCGGGTTTGAGCTCAGATCCTTGGAAAAGATGAGCGACGGACGAGAAATCGTTTTCCGGTGTCTTGGCGATACCAGCCTGTGAGCTCCCGGCGAGTGGCTCTGGAGTAGCGGCCGACTGGGTTCCTACGCTCGTAGTGGCTTTAGGCGGTGTGCCACGGGAAATCTGAACATCTCGAATCATATTCGATAAGAACCCAATCTTGGAGTAACTGTATATCTTTTCCACCGACCACTCGGAAACGAGCTCTCGGGCGCGTTCTATTGTCAGAAGTTCTGACGGGATGTGTTTCTTCTTCTGAATCTGCTCTTTGAGGTCTGCATCTTCTAGAACTCGGAGGCAAAGCAAGTTTTTCAGGACTCCGCCGTGTTCAGACGTAAGGAAGATGAAAGCCGTGAAATCGGCCGGATTTTGGAGCCGACGAATTACGTCGAGGAAGATTTTCGTCGCGGGTATTCGGATGGCGTCTGCTTTCATTTCAAGTCGGAATCCTTCTGAGAATGTTTTGATCATTCCTTCGAGGGTTTCGCTTTTCTGGTCGAGCACGGCTTGATGGATGAACGAATACACTTCTTTCGCCTCCTACGATGATAGGTCCAGGAGGGACATAGTCGCCTCCGAGTGCCTCTGTCGTTGGCGAATGCTTCTTCCCCGTCGATTCCTTCTGGCGGCTGTATCTCCCGAAGCATCTCTTCGACTGGTTGGGCTATTCGGTCTCGGGTCGTACCCTTCAATCGGAGCTTCTGGAACACCTTTTGTCCAGATGATTTGTCTTTGACTTTTTTGAACAGCTCTGTCAAGAGCTCGATCGCTGAGTCGGCCGGGATTTCGCATTTCCGCCTCCACTTGAAAGGGCCGATAACCCGGTCCATCAATCGTTGAAAAGTCGCGGGTGCGTTTGCCAGGCCGAATGGCATTCTCTTGAATTGATATAACCCGTCTGGGGTACAGAAAGCTTTTTCCTCCGTATGGCTCGGCTCCATCTCAACTTGCCAGTATCCACTCAGCAAATCGAGCGTCGTGAAGTATGCATTCCCAGAGAGTACGTCAAGCGCATCGTCTATCCGAGGCAAAGGATAAACATCTCTCTTTGTCACTGTGTTCAACTTGCGGTAATCAATACAGAATCGTATCGAACCATCCTTCTTTTTCAACAAAACTACGGGTGAAGCCCATGGGCTACAAGAGGTTTCCACGATGCCATCACGAAGCATCTTCTGAACTTCCTCTGAGATCACTCGCCTCTGTTCAGGAGCCACTCGTCGAGGTGAGAACGTTATAGGCGGCGCGTCGCCTGTAGGTATCAAATGCTTAACAAAGGTGGCGCTGGATAACCTACTCGGCTCCCCGAACAAGTCGGCGAAGTCTCCCAGAAGAAGTTTCCGCACTCTTCGTTCTTGATTCGGTGAAAGATCTCTGCCCAGCTTCAGCGAAGACGTTAGCGGAACCGGGTTCTTTTCTTCTTGTTTTTGCGGTGGTGAACCAACTTCTCTCGGAATATGGGCTCTCCCTAGAGACCTTCCTTCCTTGAGGTGGATAGGAGTACTCTCAAGATTCACTACCAAGATCCTGCAAGAGCCACTTTCATCGGATTGCACCACACTGTACGGTGTTATGAATCGACCGTTCGGGGTACAACTCATCATTCCATCTGTTTGAAGTGTCTCTGACGGTATACAGTCGAACCCGCTTAAAAGAGACTTCTCGGGGAATTGAAAATGGTCTCTTATATCCGGTTTCTCTAATATCCGAGGTACGGTTTTTCGACGAAAAGACTTGAAACATCTCGTTCTCGTATGACTTGGATGCCTGTATCATGATCCTGTGAAGAGACGATCATTTTCGGAGCAATGATCATATCGAACCGTGGATCTGCGCGTGTTATCTCATTCGCGCAGGTTCCGAGAGGAAGAGGAGTCATGGAAGAGCAAACAGAAATTCTGCTTGAGACGGTCCTCTCTTATATACGAGGTCTCCAACATGGAACTCTATGGGGCCGGGGTTTGAAAATTGTCTCTTATATCCGGTTTTCTCTTATATCCGAGTTTCTTATAAGCGAGGTTTTTAACATGAAACCCTATG